GTGCTACTATGAGGTACCTGATTTGATACAAAGTATGTTTTCAAATCAAGACTAGTTTAACACCATTGACTGATACAAATGTCTTTTATGCTGTGCATGATTTTTGCACCATGAATAAGACATCCGAGGGTGTTGTCCCTTGAAAATAAGCTTTGTGCTAGATTTTCATAGCAAGGAGACTGTCTTGGTAAATGTGACTGCCAGCTGAAATCAGAAAAAGACCAACTCAAGCACACTTCTCAGCTGCCTCGGATGTGACTGGAGTCCAGTGGTTGAAGTCAATTGGATTTGTGCTGGATTGTAATCCAAGAGGTTAAACTAGGGAATACATAACTGCTTTCATTTCTATTTGCTGGCGAAGAGTTAAGATGCAATTGGTGAAAAAAAATTCTGGTAACTTGTTCCACCGCAGCTGAGGCATCATGTCACCTATTGTATAATTCAAAGCATCTAGACTCATCTTCTCTTTTAAGAAGAAAGAAGCGATGTAAATTCCCCAGTAAAAAAAATTGTTACAACTAGTTTTCAAAGGGAAAAGCAACTTCCTGTCTGCAAAAGGTACCAAGCTATGAAAATTGTAGTTGGGTAGGTATAAAGTTTAGATTACAATCAATGGGCATATAAAACCCAATCTCACAATCCTGAGGTAGACAAAGATCCCATTGATTTTGGTGGAAGCTTTTCCCGATTAAGGGACTGTAGGAATGGGCCCATTGTCAGTGCAGTATGATCACAAGTTTCTGTATTTTTGCCCATGGTGAGCCAAATTCACCCTTGTATAACTTCACTGAAGCCTCCTAAACCCAACAATGACTAGAGGCTTGTTAAGCCAACAGTGGCAAGTGTACACTGTATTACAGCTAAGGCCTTGTCTGTACTAGAGCACATTTCAGTTGGTTGTACTGCACCAGTTGAGGCACAAAATTCCACGCTAGCCCCCCTAAATAGGTTGAGATTTTCCCCTGAGTCCATACTAAGGTTGTTCTAGACCAATTTGGATATGATGGGCTGCTCAGCTGGCCAGCTTCCTTTATTTCATCAGCTGAGAATCCTGTCCCAGCCTGATAATGCCCCCATGGCTCAAAGTACAGCCTGGGGACCAACCAGCTATGGTTTGCTGGCTGCAGATGTTGGTCCAATGAAACATGTGATTTGTCAAATTGGCCCTTGCAGCTGGTGAACCAAGTAGGGCTTGGTGGTTCTAAGTGGCAGCAGGAGGAAGGGAGCATTTTGAGTGGGTGATAAGGGAAGGGCCAGAGGGAGACCTAGTGAAAATTCCCCCCCACCCTGAAATATTTCAAAAGGTGACCATCTTGTCCCCCTGAGCACAGTTACCCTGAAATATGCTCCTCAACCTCCTAATGCCACCCTCCCCCTCTAAAAGATTTCTGTGGCAGTGAATCGGTCATCAGCTACACTGTAAATGAAGGAGCATTAATGGAGGCAGAGAGGCCTTTCTAGCGGGGAATCCTGTACAAGGTCTGGCAAACCTGCCTTACAGTGAGACAAGAAGTTCAGTCTAGTTAGTTTATCCAGAAGAAGGTTACGGGATGATTTGATCATAACTATAATTAAGGATACAATTTGCTCCCAGATTCTGTGACTTTAACAGATCTCCATGGACTTCTTTGGCTTCGGCTTCAGCCCCCGGGCTCTGGCTTCCGTGATTTACCATCCATTGCCCCTGCCTTTTACTAAAACTACCTGTGACAAAATCTTAACTTTATCTAGAATTACCTACACGGAGAGGAGATTTCGGATTGTAGAGGGCTCTAGTCTAGCAGACAAATAAAATCCAATGGCTGGAAGTTGAAGCTAGACAAATTCAATCTGAAAATAAGGTGCTCATTTTTTTTTATTTTTTTTAACAGTGAGGATAGTTAACCATTGGAATAATTTACCAAGGTCTGTGGTGGATTTTTCCAATCACTTGTAGTCCCCTTGAAGATTATCAGACCAACAGTATCAGGTCACTCCTGAACCAGAGCCTCCTGCAGAACACCATGTTGTCCTGTCCTGTGGCCACTATAAAATAAATAAATCAGATTTGCTTTTCTACATGTTTAATTTTGTATCAAGTATGACCTGGCCATCTCCATCAAAATCGGACAAACGTTTTAAATAAGATTCATGTTTCTGAGCTGAAGGTGGCAATGAAAATAGATTTTAGATACACACAGGAATAGAGATTATAGAAATACTGGTCACAGCTCCTTACTTAAGACTTTTGCACTTACAGCAGGTATTTAGCCTATTTGTAGTAATAATCCACCTCTTATATAATACTGCTTAGCTCATGTATAGCACTTCAGCAGTAGATCTCAAAGTGCTGTACAAAAGAGGGAAGTAGAACTCATTTTACAGCTGTTATAATGATAAAGGGAAGGGTAACAGCTGTCCTGTGTACAGTACTATAAAATCCCTCCTGGCCAGAGACTCCAAAATCCTTTTCCCTGTAAAGGGTTAAGAAGCTCAGGTAACCTGGCTGACATCTGACCTAAAGGACCAATAAGGGGACAAGATACTTTCAAATCGGGGGGGGGG